GCAATGCCAGGAGCAGAGCACGTCTTTCAACCCAGGGTCCCTGCGTGGAGAAGCTCCTAGTCCGGGGGAAGATTGATGAGAAGGCCAACAGAGAGAGAAAGCCTTCCCTGGAGGCGACACCCTGAATTTGCACTTATAGCCTACTTTCTGTGAAGAAATAAATTTTCTTTGTTAAAGCCATCCATGTGTGGTATTTCTGTTACAACAGCACTAGATAACCAAGACAGAGTTCATATCAGAGGCCTCAAATAGGCCCAATCAGAGGTAATCCAGGATGTTTGCTGAAGTGGCTAGAAAAGATCAATTTCTCTCTCTCTCTCCCCCCCCCCCCCCCTTGATATTGCTGAAATGTGAAGTAATAAGCCTAAGGTTGATGGTGGCCACCATGAAAGGAAGCCTAAGAAAGAAGCCAATCCTGATGAATGCCAAGTGAAAAGATAGTAAGAGGGAGATTGAATCCTGGGATGTACATGAGTGGAGGAGGTCACCACATACCTGGGGGAGAGCCAACTGGCTCCTTCAACTGGGATGTTCTCCATGTGCCATGTGCCATCACTTGACCTGAAAATCCTCCTGGGAGACACAGGTACCAGGACCTTGACTGTACCAAGGAGCGCAGGTAAGCTGCAGAGTTGGAGGGAATGATTGCCGGAACAGGGAGTACTTCAGATGAAGGAGTTTGGTAAGTTGTTGGATACAGAATTGGCCATGGCAAAGTGAGTGGAGCCACTATGTTATGAGCATAAGCTATGACCCCTGCTTTCCTCTGGTACCTGATTACTATGATACCTGGTCTTGGGGGTGGGAAACAAAGGGGTGTAGGACAGAAGTTAGGAGTCATCATCAGGTATTAAGTGGCATAGCTCACTTTGGAGACAGAGGAGATTGATAAATGGACATAGCATACATAGAAAATGATGGGAGGGTGAAGCAAGGGCTATAGTGTAACATCTTCCTGTCAATAGAATGGGACCAGCACTGTACAAGAAGGTCATGTTGAAGACCTGATGTGTAAGTCAGCCTTTGCTGCCGTAACAAATAATTCTAAAATCTCAATGGCTTCCCATAACTAATACGTATTTCTTGTTTATGAGTCTCCAGGTTGGCTGTGGCTCTACTGGGCTTTGCTGAGCTCGGCTGGGTTCTGCTGAGCTCAGCTTGGCTCCAAGCTGCTGGGTAGGTTCAAGTCGGCTCCACGTGTCTCTTCTCATGGAAAAGCAGTTACTTGACCTGGTCTTCTAATAGATGAGTGCCGGAACACAAGAAGGCAAGCCAAATCACGCAAGCACATTTAAATCTCCTGCCAGGGTCGAGTCTGCTCACATTCCAATGGACAAAGCCCGACGTTACTGGAGTGTGGAATGGGCACTACCTATTGAAGGGCACTACAAGGTCACACGGAAAAAGGCTTGGATGCACAATCCTAACAAAGGGAATAAGAAGAATAGCGGGGAGCAATCATCCAGGCTGCCCCACATGGGGATGTGCCAGGACGTCTTAGGGACTGGAGAGAAGTCCACAGAGCCAGTGTCCTCCGGGGCAAGAACAGATGCCACCACCCTCTCCCTCCAGAGTTCAGTTGCATACATCCAGTCTGGCTCATAAAAGGCCAGGATGAAGGTGAAGGTAAATACAGTCTCCACCTATTGGTGAATTGTAGATGTCTCCAAGGATTGGACAAACCCATGACGCTTTCTGAAATAATCAGTAATGGGGGCAAAGACAGCAGAAAAGTATAACACGAACTGCCTGTGGTGACAGAAGAATCCAGGAATTGCTGAATGTCTTTAATGGACTTTTGGAGCACACTTTGTAGATGTCCTTAACTAGATACTGTGTGGCCTGCAAATTCTGCAGTGCTTACCTTTTAAATATTTACATATATCTATTTTTTTTTTCAAATATATATATTTATATGTCCATGGGTGGTGCAAATAGTTAAGCATTTGGTTACTAACAGAAAGGCTGGTGGTTCAAATCCACCCAGAGGCATCTCTGAATAAAGGCCTGATGACCTGCTTCCAGAAGATCACGTTGTTGTTAGTTGCCATCAAGCTGATTCTGACTCATGAAGACCCCATGTGTTACACAGTAGAACTGCTTCAGAGGGTTTTCTTGGCTGTTAATCTTAACAGAAATGGATCACCAGGCCTTTCCTTCTGCGGTACCACTGGGTGAGCCAAACCACCACAGCCATTGAAAACCCTACAGAGCGCAGTTCTACACTGAAACAATGAGGTCACCCCGTAAGTTGAAATCGATTCGACAGCAACTGGTGTCTATATGTAAGTATTGGGAGGAAGCAATATAGACATATCTACAGGCCCCTCAGGAGGCAAAGGTGGGCAAAGAGCTTTTAAGGACAAAGAATGCCTTCATGCTTAATATTAAGTTGTTTGCTGTGTTGCAACTCTCTTCCATGACAGCATTTATTCAGTAAAGCCAGGTAAACACACACACATAACCCAAGACACAGAAACCTTTCCTTGGCAATACAGCCCATCCTCAGCAGCTGTGGCTGAATCTGCGGGTACCGGGACTAGAGAGAATAACTTAATTCTAATCACCACTGGATGGTAGACTAAAGTCGCAGGAAGACTTCCAGCCCCTGTTAAACTAGGGGCTGCAGTGGGCCTGAAGGTGGGGGTTTTATCACAAGGATCTAGCTGAGGTGACATTCAAAATATTTAATAACCAGTATGGCACAGGTTCTTGGCCAATCAGAACAGACACCCACCAATCAGAACCATGGCCAGACACTGTAACCTGCGTGCAAGCGACCCTGATGCTTCTATCCAGCTGGGGGAAATGGATGAAGATGAAGGCTGGGAATCCAACGGCAGGGCTGACCTTGCGCACCAGCCAGTGTGACCTGCTGCTTTCCTATGTGCAAAGGACTGTGCATTTCAACCTGAGACCTCGGGGGTCCTGCAGGGCATAAGCTCGATTTGTCTTCCTGCCTGAGGCGATCACCAATTACGTGTGCTGTGAGGCAAGCTGGCCTCCCACCAGAGAGGCAGGAGAAGGGATTTATAGAATCTTTCTCTGATCTAACTTATTAGAGAAGTTGAAGGACACCCATCCAGGAGGTAGCATCGTGTAGAGATAAAGGAAACCAAAAACCAAACCCACTGCCATTGAGTCGATTGCAACTCATGGCGACCCCATGTGTTGCAGAGTTGAACTGTTCCATAGGGTTTTCTTGGCTCCAATTTTTAGGAAAGCAAAATGCCAGGCCTTTCTCGCAAGGCAATGCTGGGTAGGTTCGAACCATCAACCTTTGGGTTAGTACTCGAGGGCAAACCGCGCCACCCAGGGGCCATGACATAAAGAAGGAAAAATTTAAATCCTTGCTATCTGTGAGTCTTTAGACAAGTGCCTTGCCCTTAGACCCCTCATCTGGACAATAAGAATCATAGCAGCACCTACTGGCAAGGTCTTCTTGGTGATGGGATGAGCTAATGCTACAAATAAAGCCCTTGGAGCAGAGCTTGATGCCGGGATGGCCCTCCATAATGGGAGCCATTATTATTATCCAAGATGGCAGAATGATCCAGGAATTACAGCAGAAACAGGATCTCGGGAGGGAAGGTGAGATGCACACGTGACATGAAGTTGTGCAGTTTGAAGTCTGACCCGAAGAAAAGCCGTTTCTCAGATTTTCCTTTAGCTGCCCAGGACAACCCAAAGTTAGTATAAAGCAAGGATGTTGCGTGACATGCAAGGCCATTCTGATTGGAATCTATGCAGGCACGTTCTCATCAGCACCCCTCCAAGCAGCTGGCCCAGCACAGCTCAAGGCAGGAGGTGGGGGTGCGGGGCTGGTGTTGTTTGTAACAAGATAAATGATCTGTGCTTGGAAGCAACATTAGCTGCCACTTCCCCGCCAGGATGGAAAAGAGCTAAATCGGGCCCTGAATAGCACTTACAAGACCATGCCTTCCACACTCAATCTCTTAATTTTCTGTAATGACCACGTGTGACCTCCGAAAACACGCCAGTCTCTACAACTCCTATGGATGCCGCTGTTTAACACCTGCCCAGCTCTTGCGGAACACCACACATTTTTTGAAATTTAAGTGGGCTTTTCTTCTCATCTCCAGATGAGACGTCAGCTGCAGATGTGTGACTCGGAAGAGAACGCAGGACTTGCGGGTGGCAGGAAAGAGGCACCCAGGGTATCCGATGAGCCACTTGAGGAATGTCATGTGAAGCGCCTTTATTGCTGCCTTTGAGAACGTGGGATACCCAGGAGGCAACAGAGCATCACTGCTGTCCCCTTTCTTGAGCTCAGACCTCCTGAGCCTAAGGCTGAAGGCATCATGGGGATTTCCAGAAGTAACCTCACCCCAGCCTCCAAAAGGATGGGGCCAATGGGTTGAAGTTGGCTCTGCAGTGGTATAATCAGATGGGTAACTGACTTACATAATTTTTTTAAATTATTATTTCAAACCCCCCAAAGCTCAGAGCAATTTTAAAAAGAAAAGAAAGAGCCACCATCTCCACCAAAAAAAAAAAAGAACTCTTTGAAAGCTTAACTGATAACTTCACAGGAAATGGAAGGCATCTGGAAAATGTATTTAAAAATTGATTTAACGTTGAGCCATGTTAAATGTTTTAATTTCCCAGCAATGCAATGTCCACCAAAACATCAATTAGTCCCAGCAATCAGACAGGGATATCGGCTGCAGTTGAGGGACTCATTTATTTCAGCTCTGCTAAATATCTAAGAAGGAGAAATACAATGTAGCCTGTAGCTCCAGGGAAGTGAAATCAAGACAGAGTAGGCTCAGATCTGGCCCTGGCTGAAACAGTGCCCTTTATCCTGCACCCGCTGTCTCAGAAGGGGGGCAGTAACCGGTGCGTAAGGTCCTCACTGTACTGGCAGAAAATTGGCGCCCTACTTCCCTACCCCCAGTTTCTGTCTCCAAGCAGGGGAGGGGAAAAGGCTACAATGGGGCAGAGATTGGCTCCCCGTCCAGGAGACAGGCCAGCTTCAGAACTTGCCAGATCATTTTTAATAATTATTTTTTCCTTGAGGTGCCTTTTAAATATCAAGGCCCCATGCTCCCCATGCCCTATTCGAGGCTCTGAGTCCAGGCAGGGTCTCCCACAGTCTGACCGGCCCTCTGTCTTGACACGCCTTGGCCAGCTGCTTAGGGCACCAGAAGGGCGACGCGCTCACACCGCTCACCACAGGGCCTTGGGCACTGAAGCCAGCAGAGGGCAGCCAAGCCAAAGACCCCAGCAGACGGGCACTCCTAAAACAGAACACAAGGCGAGAGTGCCTGTGAGGTCTCAGCAGCCCGCAGAGGGTGGACACATCATGTCCCACTCCGAGTCTCTCCGGGACCACTCACTCAGTTTCGCTGAACCTTGGGTTCCTCGTCCCTTAAATGAGAATAATGACCCCAGTTAGGGGGTTTGTGAGAATTAAATGAGATGGTGTGAATCAGGAGCCCTGGTGGCGTAGTGGTTAAGAGCTATGGCTGCTAACCAAAAGGTCAGCAGTTTAAATCCACCAGCCACTCCTTGGAAACCCTATGGGGCAGTTCTACCCTGTCCTCTAGGTCGCTATGAGTCAGAATCGACTCAACGGCCACGGGTTTCGGGTGTGAATGTGAGCACCAGACATGCCTTAGTCATAAGTCACCTGGGGAGCTCGTCAAAAATGCAAATCCCAGGTCCCTCCCCTGGAGATTCTGATTCAGCAAGTCTGTGACAGGGCCCAGGACTCCGAATTTTCAGCATCACCCCCAGGTGATTCCTATAATTAAGCAAGTTTAGGAAACAGGAGATGATTCGCCTGGCCCACAGGAAGGGTTAGCCCAACCTCGGCCCCACTGAGGCCTGTGGGGTACGTGGAAGGAGGGGCATCTAGGACCCTGGCTGGCTGAGGACCTGCAGAGAACACCTTTCAGAGGGCTCTCATCACCTTACGACCCTGCTGTTTGGAGGGAAAACTGGTACAGCCTCCATGGAGGGACTTGGCAACATCCATCAAAATCACAGATGCACATACCCTTCGAGCCTGTGGTCCCATTTTGAAGTGTTTATCCTACAGACATACTGAACAGATATAAATTATACACGGTCACTCTCTGCAGCATTGTTTGTAACAGCAAAGAAACAGAAATGGAAATGTCCATCTACAGAGATCTGGTTAAATACAGTTATGGCATAGCCATAAAACCAACAGTCGTACAGCTCCTCCATACAGAAATGGAACTGTCTCCAGGGTGCATTGTTAGGTGAAAACTGCAAGATGCAGAGCAAGGCGTACAATAAGCTCTTGTAAAGGCAGGGATATAATGTATATTTGATTTGCTTTTATATGCATAGGATATCTCTGAACAAACACACAGAAGCTGGCAACATTGGCTGCCTCTGGGCAGTGTGAAGGATAAAATGAATTTGGTACCCAGAGATTCTGGAATCGGTAAGTGAATACCCTGGGAGAAGCCCAGGGAATTGGCTGTTTTTTAAAAGCTCCCCCAGATGACTTTAAAGGGCAGCTAGAGTTGAGAATCATTTATGTTAAGTTTGGTAGGGACTTTGGGTGTTTTCTCTGAGTGAAAGTCCCCAATTCAAAGACCGCCCCCCCGAATCCTAGTAATCTTCCCGCCCCAAGCGCGGCAGGGCGGACCCAGGAACAGGAAAGGAGGGTTGGGGTGGGGACAGGGCAGGGGACAGCTGGGCTCACCTAGGGGAGAACGCGAGGAGGGGATCCGGGTGGGGCTTGCGCTCTGCGGCGCATCCAGCCAGGAGCGGGTCTTGGCGCCATCTAGCGCCTGCTGGAGGCTTTGCCGCTGCAGCAAGCTAAGCTGCCGGCGCTGGGCGTCGGTCACCGCTGCCGCATTCTCGGGGCCCAAGGAGGCGATCTGCTCTGGCGAGAGCTCCTGCAAGAGGGAAAGGGGACAGCGCCCTCAGAGGGGCCCCGCCCAGGGGTTTCCAAACCTCGGTCATCCTCCTAGGGCCCGCACAACTTTGCCACAGCACATACCATTTGTGCTCGTCTAGTATTTTTCCTTAAGATCAGTCCATTCTTTTCACTATTAAAATACACTTAAATTGGTAAAGTTTTTATGGAAATCTCAAAAAATAGAAAATCCTTCACCAGTGCATCTCCAGCACCTCGCCTGGAGTCAGCCACAATGTGATGGTGAACGAGAATTTCTGGAATAGATAAGTAAATACCTGAACAAGGAAGTGGGCTGCTCTGCAGAAGAGACCAAGAGAAAGTGCTTTGCAAAGTGCCAGCATCCAGGACCAAACTGCTTGTCCCACGCAGAGAGCTAGGCTTCCCAAAGAGAAGCAGCATTTACTCAATGGCCTTGTCGTTGTTGCTGTTGTTATTGTGTGCCATCCAGTAGATTCTGACTCATAGTGACCCTATTGGGCAGAGTAGAACTGCCACGTAGGGTTTCTTAGGCTGTAATCTTTATGGGAGCAGATCGCCAGGTCTTTTCTCCTGCGGAGCGGCGAGTGGGTTTGAAGTGCTGACCTTTCAGTTAGCAGCCAAACACTTAACCATTACATCACCAGGGCTCCTTTCAGTGACCTTGAAGACTACTATTTATTTCCCCTACTCTGTGCTGGGTAAGGAGCCCTAGTGGAGCAGTGGTTAAAGCACTCAGATGCTGACTATAAGGTCAGCAGTTCAAACCCACCAACCGTTCTGTGGGAGAAAGATGTGGCAGTCTGCTTCAGTAAAGATTTACAGCCTTGGAAACCCTACGGGGCAGTTCTACTCTGTCCTAGAGGGTCCTTGGAAACCCTATAGGGGGCAGTTTTACTCTGTCCTATGGGATTGCTACGGGCCAGAATTGACTAAACCGCAGTGGGTTTTGTTTGGGTTTTTTGGTGCTGGGACCTGTCCCAGGTGCTGAAGTGGCTCAAGGTCTGCTGTCTCTCTTAAAACGAACCAATGATGTAGCATAATGGGAGTTTGCTAGCTTTATCTAGTTATGGCGGACAGAATGTGTTTCCAAGCTATCCAGTAAGCAAGGATACCTGGGTCGCTCCCTTTGCATTGGAGCAGACTTCCCCACCAAACACTTTACTAGTCCTCGTACATGTACAGGAAGTGAGAACCTCTTATTGGATACCCTGCTTCCCAGACTTTGCTTGATCCAATTCCACTGTCTCTATTTTTACCATATTGACTTATCACATGTCCTAATGTGGTCTTCTTAATGTTCTTCTTTAAACCAACTAAAAATTTTTAAATTATTTTAAAAGGAAATGTTATACAGGTCCACAATCTGTCATCAGTCATTCTGAAATCCAAAAAGTCTGCAAACTGAAAGTTCTTCCAAAGTTTCAGGCAAACTTATTTGCCATTAAAACCCAACCTGAATTGATGTGAGGCTATTTATAGTCTCTGTTTATTCCAATTAGTGTGACTTGTCATAGATTCTCTGCAGAAATGTTAATGTGTTTGCTTACAAGGTGCTTCCTCAGACACTGCTGGGGGTGTTAAGTTACATACAGTATATGCACAGAGTGATTTTTCAAAAATGTGAAAAATTCTGAATCCTGAAACATATCTGATAAGGACTTGGAGACTGGCACACAGCCATAAATAGAAAATGAGTGCCACTTGCTATGAAGAGAAAGCAAACATAAAAGTAAATATAATTAAAAGATAAATTAAAAATTTAAGAAGAAAAATTCACTCATGAGCCCCCTTAAATTATCTTGTGACCTGGCCATCGTTGGCATTCAGATCTCCTCTGTCCCTATCAGTAGAAGCCAAGTACTGTTTGCAAGTTCTAGAACCAGAAGCCTGTCATCTGCTTCCCTGTGTGATTTTAAATGGGGTCAAGCTCCCATTTCTCCTTGAAGAACTGAGCACCTACTTTGAATATCTCATCAGGAAGGCATTTTACTGCTGATGGCTGGAAATACGGCATCAAGTCTTTGTCAAGCATTTGGAGTTCTTCCTTAGTTAATCCAGCTGGGGAGAGAAAGAAATCATGAGGGTTTAGTTCAAGCCATCAGAACTCCTCTTGTTTTATTAATGGTGCTGCATAATGTACAGACCTGCAAGTTCCAGGCAAGCATCTTCCTTACAAAAGACCCTGAAAATCACAGTGGGAAAGCAAGCTCCTTAATCATTGCAGGAAAAAAAAATGTGGGTCACATTAGCTCTGACTGGCCTCCTACAAAGAAATGTATGCCCAGGAGCTTCACTTTACACAACTTCAGATGGTATATAAGGGCCAATTAAATCACATTCTAAGCCAGTGTTTTCTGAATGTAAGTGTGCACAAGAATCACCAGGGGGGCTTGTAGATGCCACCCTCACAACTTCAAGTCATGAAATCTAGGCTCTGCTGTAACTCTGTGGATGTTCACTGGACACAGTCAAGAATTCTTTTTATGTCTGCCCCCAGATTGAAGGTTGGAAAGGGAGAGAAGCATGCTCAGGGTGTCTCCTACCTGCAATGGTCCCGAGCTCCTGCAAGATGGAGCTGGTCCACTTGGTGGGATCCCCAAACACAACTTCTGCCTTCCTCTTAAACTCAGCCAAAACATGGGTGCTGCAGAGCAGGGTCCCGATCCTGGCCACCACCACTCTGGTCAAGAAGGAGGGATATAGTGTGAGCCTGGGGGACTCTCCAGCCAAAATATGATGTGCAGAAGGTGGACTCAGCATCGAGAAAGGATCCAGCTAACCCCACTGCCTAATCCAGCCCAGAAAGGTAACAAAGCATCATGAAGTGAAGAGCATCCTGTTGAATGCATGAAAGAATCAATCGATCATTTTCTACTTTGCATACTAGTGCTTTGGTTACCTGAATTCTGAGATCTTTATAAGTGGGAGTTCGGTGATATTCATAGCACACAGGGTTGCACCAAGCCCTACTAAGTGAAAGCTCTTCAGATCCTGGATAGTATAGCCTGAATCCTCCAGGAACCCTTGAAGAATGGATTTAGCCTAGAAAGATGAGGAAGGATAGAAGATGAACTACCCTGGGATGATCAAGACTCCAAGTCCTGAGAGGATAACAGCCTCCTGACTGGTCCCCCAACCTATCTCCTCTGGATGCCCTCCCCACTCCAAACATTCTGGCCATTGCATCCAGGTTAACGTCCTCAAGGTGCTGCTTCAACCAAGTATGTTTCCTGTTCTATGGAGGTGTCTTTAGGCACTGAAGCTCTTGTATCCTTCACCAATATTAAAGAAACTTGTGTCCTGTGTCTGTGTCTGCTGGTTTATTTCCTTCCGTCACTCTTATTACCTTCACAGAGTTTGGGCATTCAAGTTCTTCTGCATCAGGAGCCAAACATTCCCAGCATATTTTCTACTACTTTCCAGCAAAACCTTGTAATTTCCTGCCTCCATGCCTTTGATCAAATGAGCCCCCCCTCCACCTGAAATGCCCTTCCTGCATTCCCAACTGTTAAAATCCAAACACTATTTTATTTTTTTGGTACAATTCAAATGTCACTTTCTTCATGAAATCTTCTCTGATCACCTCAGCTGAAATTAATTTTTCTTCCTCTAAGAGTCCACAGAAATATGTTTGCCCTCCACTCTTCAATTCCAGAGAGAAGTACCTAAAATGCTTCGGTGTTAACAACCACATAGGGATCTCTTGAGTGAGCTTTGAGTTAGGAGGGCTGATGTGTAGAATCCCTGTAATTCTGGCACAGTAGCCATTCATTGTTCATGACTTTCTCTGGGGAACCACCCCTCCGGCACTCTTACTTCATTTGGGTCAGTTGGTGCTAACTGCATCCTGAGATCCAGAGGTGATCATGTGACCCAGTGCTGGCCAATCAGGTCATCATCTAGTCTACCTGCAGTGATTGGCTCTGGATTAGGCATGTGATCCAGTAAGAGCCAACCAGGACTTTGGCTGGAGCAATTAGGAGAGAAGATATTTCTTGACTCTGGACTTGAGGAACGATATACCCCTGAATCTGCTAGACCACCATGTAGGAAGAGCCTGCCTCGGAGTGAAACCAGCACAAAGGAAAGCAGAATCAAAATATGGTTAAAGACAGATTCTTTTTTTTTGTTACTTTATTTTTTTTTAATTGTACTTCAGATGAAGGTTTACAGAACAAATAGTTTCTCATTAAACAGTTAGTGCACATATTGTTTTATGACATTGGTTAACAACCCCATGACATGTCAACACTCCCTTCTCGACCTTGGGTTCCCTATTACCAGCTTTCCTGTCCCCTCCTGCCTTCTAGTCCTTGTCCCTGGACTTTTGTGCCCCATTAGTCTTGTTTTGTTTTATGGGGCTATCTAATCTCTGGCTGAAGGGTGAACCTCGGGAGTGACTTCATTACTGAGCTAAAAGGGTGTCTGGGGGCCATACTCTCAGGGTTTCTCCAGTCTGTGTCAGGCCAGTAAGTCTGGTCTTTTTTTGTAAGTTAGAATTTTGTTTTACATTTTGTCCAGCTCTGTCCGGGACCCTCTGTTGCGATCCCTGTCAGAGCAGTCAGTGGTGGTAGCCCGGCACCATCTAGTTGTGCTGGACTCAGGCTGATGGAGGCCATGGTAGTTGTGGTAAAGACAGATTCTTGACGATACTGTTGAAGCCCTTGGATCCGGCCATATCTGAACTCTACCTTAAACTTCTTAGTTATGGGAGTCAATATATATATACTTTTTTCTTGCTCGAGCCAGATTGAGTTGGGTTTTCTGCCACTTGTAACTAAATGAGCCCTGACTAATACATTTAAGATTCATCTGACCAAATGGCATTAACAAGTAAATATACAGAAACTAATGTTCATGGGTGGTTATCAGGGATAGAGGGGTAGGTAGAGTCACTCTCCAGACAGCAGACACTTGTTATTTTCTGGTGATAGGAAAGGTAACACTGAATAAGGGTGAAGTATACAGAGTTGACAAAGGTAAACAATGTCACTAAAAAGTACACAAGAAAAAAGGACCTATTGGTAATTGTCATGGCATACATAATTTTGAAACAACAACCAAAAATATATGTGTGGCTATATACGTATATATGTAGGCATACAGGTATATTAAAAAAAAACTCATTGCCGTTGAGTCAATTGACTCATAGTGACCCTACAGGACAGAGTAGAACTGCCCCATAGGGTTTCCAAGGAGTGGCTGGTGTATTCAAACTGCCAACGTTTTGGTTAGCAGCTGTAGCATGCCGTAGCTCTTAACCACTATGCCACCAGGGTTTCCTATATGTGTATAGGTATGTATATATGTGTGTATATATAACTGCATGCATATGTATATGCATCTATGTGACTGTACGCACATATATTCATATATATAATAAACCACACAGGGGCACAGTTACAGATACTTCTTAGACATAACCAAACACCTCACAAAATTGGATTTCTGGGTTTGGAGGATTAGGACCATAGTCTCATGGGACATTTTGGTAAATCGGCATAATATAGTTCATAAAATTATGTTCTACATCCTAGTTTGGTGAGTAGTATCTAGGGTCTTAAAACCTTGCAAGCAACCATCTAAGATACAACTATTGGTCTCTAGTCATCTGGAGCAAAAGAGAAAGAAGGAAACCAAAGACTCAAAGAATAAACTAGTCTACAGGACAAACAAGTCTACGTGAACCATGGCCTCATCTATCCTGAGACCCAAAGAACTAGATGGTGCCCAGCCTCCACTACCAACCATTCTAATCAAGGCCACAATAGATGGACCCTGAAATAATGGGAGGAAAATGTGGGACAGAATCTCAAATTCCTAAAAAAAAAAAAAAAGACTTCCTGGACTGGTTGAGACTGGAGGATTACCCAAGACTATTGCCCTGAGATACCCTTTAAATCTTGAACTGAAACCCCTGAGGTCACCTTGTAGCTAAATAACAAATTGGCTCAAAAAATAGTGTATATCACCCATAAGTACTGTGCTCCTTTAAAAACTCAAATGATCAATAATTACTTTAAAACAAAGATGACAATCTAAGGGGGCAGGGAAACTAGATTAGTGGAAACAGAACAACCAGAATGGAAATAATGAGAATGTTCATGTATTGTGAAGAATGTAACCAACGTTACTGAACAACTTGTGTAGAAACTGTTGAATGGGAACCTAAACTACTGTGTAAACTTTCACCAAAAACACCATAAAATATTATTATTTTTTTAAAAAAAAAGATTCATCTGACCTACCTATGTTGGACCTGAGGAAGGATCCAAGTGAACTCCTTAGTGATGAACTAGATAACCATTAAAATGTTGGCTATTATTATTTTGGAGGCACACTCCTGTCTGGTCAAAGACATTTAAGTCAAAATGTGGTGCTACTCAAAAAAAAAGACCAGATTTACTGGCCTAAAGGAGACTGGAGAAATCGCGAGAGTACGGCCCCCAGACACCCTTTTAGCTCAGTGGTGAAGTTACCTCCGAGGTTCACTGTTCAGCCTGGAAGTGGACAGCCCCGTAAAACCAAATGAGACTAACGAGGTACAGGAGCCCAGTGACAAGGGCCAGAAGGCAGAAGGGGACAAGGGAGCTGGTGATAGGGAACACAAGGTTGAGTAAGGATATTATTGATGTGTTGTGAGATTGTTAACCATTGTCATAGGGCAACATTTGTAGTAACTATTAAATGAGAAACTATTTTGTTCTGCAAGCCTTCATCTTAAGTGAGAATAACAGCACAATTGGAAGAGCGTAGTCAATGTCACTGAACTGTTTATGTAGAAATTTTTGAAACGGTGTATCTTTGGCTATGTGTATTTTCACCAAAAAAAAAAAAAAAAGGTTGAGAATTTAGAGGGTTAATATGTTGTGGGGTTGTTAACCAATGTCATAAAACAACATGTGTACTTCTGTTTCATGAGAAACTATTTGTTCTGTAAGCCTTCACCTGAAGTACAATAAAATATAAAAAAAAAAAAAATGTGGTGCTACTGAAATCCCCACAGTCATTGTGAGTTTGGTAATCACTGAGAGATATTGACCAATCTGATTTACATAAACATTTGATTATGTGTGGTAAAGCAGAGAGTCATCGAAAACAAGGAAAACCCTCAATGAGACAGATTGACACAATAGCCTCAACAATGGGTTCTAACATCTCAAAGATGATGGAGATGGCACAGGACTGGGCAACATTTCATTCTGTTATACATAAAGTCACCACAAGTTGGAGCCAACTCAATTGCAACTAACTACAACAACAACAATGAGCTCTACAATAAAGTCTGATCCTTCGGTGATCATAGGGGCAGGTGCAGAAGACTACAAGAGGACGAGGCTCACAAGGCAAAGATGGGGAGGAGATGCCCACAGACAAACATCTCCTGAATGGGAACGAAAGTCACAGGGATACAGCCACTCTTCCAGTTCCCATTAATCTTTGTCCATCCCTATCACATAAAATGGATCACTACAGTTGAGGAAAGGATAAAATTGGAAAAGATGGTGAAATGTTCCAGTGGGATTCCACTTTTCATGTAGCTGTTTCTTTCCCATCCCTCAGGTCTGTTTAAATGCTACCTCATCAGAGAAGACTGCCCAGATTCCCCCATCTTAAGAAACCTCCCTCCCTGCTATCCCCATGAGCACCATGTCCATTTTCTACAATGTTTTTTTTTTTTCATTTTTAACTTTGATGACTGAATTTTTTTTTTTTTTTTTTGGTCTCCCCAAGCAGACTCTGCAAAGACAAGGACCGTATCCAGCTAGTTAACCACTGTCTCCCCAGGACCTAGTACCATTCCTGGCACACAGCAGTTGTCCAGTGAGGACTTTTAAATGTGTGAATGAATGAACAAATGATCTATAAAAGTCATAGGTAGCATATATTCCTTTGAAATGGCATCATATCACTTCCTTTGTGTGATGGATTGGCTTCAAAGAGACATCCTATGTTTCCACAAATCAGATTGGTCAATGTCTTCATTAAGTTGCCCTCAATGGTTACAAAACTCACAACTGCTGGAGGGAGTTTCCGTAGCA